AGTCCCATCACTTCATGGCAAATAGACAGGGAAAAAGTGGAAACAGTGACAGACTTTATTTTCTTGGGCTCCAAATCACTGCAGATGGTGATTGCAGCCATGAAATCAAGACACTTCCTCCTTGGAAGGAAAGTTATGACCAACCTAGACAGCATATTATAAAGCAGAGACAATACTTTGCCAACAAAGGTCCATCTAGTCAAGGCTATGGTTTTTCCAGTGGTCATGTATAGATGTGAGAGCTGGACCATAAAGCAAGCTGAGCGCAGAGGAATTGATGCTTTTGAACTGTGGTGTTGGAAGAGTCCCTTGAGAGTCCCTTGGACTACAAGGAGATCAAACCAGTCAGTCGTAAAGGAAATCAGTCCTGAATATTCACTGGAAGGACTGATGCTAAAGCTGAAACTTCAGTACTTTGGCTACCTAATGTGAAAAGCTGACTCATTGGAAACGACCCTGATGCTGGAAAGACTGAAGGTGGGAGGAGAATGGTTGGATGGCATCTGAAGAGTTACACTCAATGTCATGCTGTTAAAGTGCTCTCAAGACACAGAGGATGAGATGGTTGGATGGCATCACCGACTAGATAGATGGACATGAGTTTGAGCAAGCTCCAGGAGTTGTTGCTGGACAGGAAAGCCTGGTGTGCTACAGTCCACGCACTCACAAAGAGTTGAACATGATGGAGCAACTGAACTGAACTGAGGCCCCACATCATGTTTTTCAGCTGGGGATCAGGCAAACAGATAGGTAATCCCCAGGGACTCTGACTTTGAAAGCCAGTGAGATTTGCTAATAGAAATTCCATAGGACTGGGGTAAACAGAGACTCTACTCTTGGAGGGCACAAACGAAACCGTGTGTCCACCAGGACCCAGGGGAAGGAGCAGTAACCCCAGAGGAAACTGAGTCAGACTTGCCTGGGAGTGTTTCAGGATCTCCTACAGAAGACAAGGGTTGGCAGTAGCCTGCCATGGGGAAAGGGGTAGTGGTAGCAGTCCTGGTAGATCCATCTTGGTATAAGTTCTCTTAGAGGCTGTGATTTAGCCCTACCATAGAACCTATAGACTCTAGGACTGGGTGACTCAGGTCAAACAACTAACAGGGAGGGAGCACAGCCCCACTCATCAGCAGACAAGTGGATTAAAGTTTTCCTGAGTATGGCCCTGCCCATCAGAGCAAGACCCAGTTTTCCCCACAGCCAGTCCCTTCCATCAAGAAGCTTGCACAAACCTCTTACCCTCATTTACCATAAGGCAGACAGAAGAAACAAGAACTACAATCCTGCAACCCCCAAGAAGAAAACCACAGTCACAGAAAGCTAACCAAATGAAAAGAAACAGGATCATATCTCAGATGAAGGAACAAGATACATCCCCCAAAAACAACTAAATCAACTGGAGAATCGGCAACCTTCCAGAAAAAGAATTCAGAATAATAATAGCAAAGATGATCTAGGATCTTGGAAAAAGAATGGAGAAGATGCAATAAATGTTTACCAAAGACCTAGAAGAATTAAAGAACTAACAGAAATGAACAATACATTCAGTTCCGTTCAGTCACTCAGCTGTGTCCAACTCTTTGCAACCCCATGGACTGCAGCACGTCAGGCTTCCCTGTCCATCACCAACTCCTGAAGCTTGCTCAAACTCTAGTCCACTGAGTTGGTAATGCCATCCAACCATCTCCTCACTAGAAAGAATCAATAGCAGAATAACTGAGGCAGAAGAATGGATAAGTGACCTGGAAGACAGAATGGTAGAAATCATACTGCAAAACAGAATATAGAAAAAAGAATGAAAAGAAATTAAGACAGCCTAAGAGACTTCTGGGACAACATTAACCACACCAATATTCTCATAATAGGGGTTCCAGAAGGGGAGAGAGAGAGAAAGAGAGAAAGAACCCAAGAAAATATTTGAAAAGATAACAGCTGAAAACTTTCCCAACATGAGAAAGGAAACAGTCAACCATGTCCAGGAGGTACAGAGAGTACAAGGCAGGATAAACCAAGGGGACACACACTGAGACACAGAGTAATCAATCTGACAGAAATTAAAGACAAAGGTAAGATATCAGAAGCAACAAGGGAAAAAGGAAAAATAGCATCAAAGCGAAATCCCATAAGGTTATCAGCTGATTTCTCAACAGAAACTCTACAAGCCAGAAGGGAATGGCATGATATAGTCCAAGTGATGAAAGGGAAGCAGCTACAACCGAGAATGGTAATAGGATCAGACACACCATTAATTTCCTAAAATTTAAATGCACCAAGCAAAAGAAATAAGACTGGCTGGGTGGATACAAAAACAAGGCTCATATACATGTTATCTACAAGAGACCCACCTCAGATCTAGGGACACTTACAGACTAAAAGTAAGAGGCTAGGAGAAGGTATTTTACACAAATGAAAATCATAAGAAAGATGGAGCAGCAATACTCATATCAGACAAAATAAACTTAAAAAAAAAAAGACTGTTATAAGAGACAGAGAAGGACACTACATAATGATCAAGGATTCAATCTAAGAAGAAGATACAACAATTATAAATATATATACACCCAACACAGGAACACCACAATGCACAAGGCAAATGTTAACAAACATAAAGGGAAAAATTGACAGTAACACATTAATAGTGGGGAACTTAATACTTTACTTTCATCACTGGAGAGACCATCTGGACAGAAAATTAATAAG